CACTCTCGCGAGATCCAGAGCGTTGCCGTGGTGACCTCACATGACATCTCCAGCCCACCTCTCCCTCCCCACTCCTCCCTCCCCGCCCCCACAGCCTCATGCATTTCAGCTCAGGACCATCAGTTGCCTCACTTCTGGGCCTCTATCATAAAGTGTTGTGCTAGAGAACTACAAGCTTTCTCTAGATTTCATGGGAGCGACATGTGGTATTCCTTTGAGCTCTTGTTGTATCAGGTGTTCAATTGTCCCTGGTGGTTGTCAGGCATCAGGTGAAGAAAGGAGAGAGAGAAGAAAAAGGAAAAAAAGGGGGGGGGATGGGGAAGAGGAGGAAGGTGTCCACCCCCAGCCACTCACAGGATCTGCCACTCTGCATGTCTGCTGCCAGAAGATAGGTATCACCACTTTTTCAGCGTTGAGAAGTCTGGGGTATTGAGTTGTGGTGTAAAAGGAAGATAGCTGATTCTAGCGGTAAGGGATCCTCTGTTAGATCTTGAATGATCTGGCTTATTGCCTCCCATAAAGGCTTGTGCTTTCAGCATGTTCACCACATATGGATGAAGGTCTCCACCTCCTCCTCGCATCTCCAACATAAATTTGGCATTGTGTGGTCTCGGCTGTGAAGGAGCTGCGGTGTCAAGTACCATCTGGTCAGCACTGCGTAAGAATACTGTTGATGGCAAGCTGATACTGGGGTCTTCTGGATATGTAGCAACATCTTGTCCCTTTCTGGTTCTGTGAAGGTTTGTTGGAGATCTTCTTCCCATCTACCCAAGCATGGCGGCGCCAACAGGCAGCAGCCGGTTGCCAGCATATTATAGATAGTGGAGACAATCCTCGGCATTAGCGATTCCTACACGCATAGTTCCTCAAATTCGGTTCTGTCTCTTAACAGACACGGCTTCTTAGGTATTGATATGGAGTAGAGGACAATTTGTTCCCATGCTAGAGAGCAAAGGAATGTATGCAGTCTTTCCCTGAGCAGGTCAGTAATTGGCTTAACTGCGTATAGATTTGTGAGAACATCCATCATGGGGAAGGAATTACCCTGGAACAAGGCTTGTATGGATATCTGATCTCCATCTGGGAAGTTCGGATTTTCTTTCAACGGGAGCAGCGGGTTGGGCTCTGTGGAGAGGTGGCATCTGGCATGTGCCAAATCATCAGGATGGCTTTAACAAGTGGGTTATGAGTGGTTATACGTGTGTCTGCATCTTGGTTTATCCAAGGTAATGCACGAAGGTCTTGCCTCATGTTATCCGCTACCAAGGCTATCCATGGCTTATCTGTGGCTGGTTATGCTGGAGAAGTTAGTTGCCATAAAATATTCTTGGAAGTCCAGGAGGGCCAGTCCTCCATGTAATTTTAGGAGAGCAAGCTATGAGTGTGCTATCCACAGTGATCTCCCCTTCCTAATAAATGACTTCGGATTGAAGAAACTTTAAGAATGTTCGCGGGGCCTGAATTTAGTACCATCTGGAAGATAAACAGCAATTTCGATAGTAACTTAATAATTACATTTTGCATCCCTTTTTTTTTTACTACTAAAAGAACATGGATGGGTTTAAGAAGCAAAGCACACCAGTACAAGTGTAATCCTGAGTGATAAAAAAACTGCCAAACTATGTTGTGTGGTTACATTTTTACCTAAGCCAAATATTTAATTATCTGAAGGTAAATCGCACTCAGCCAAATTAATTGTGGCAAAATAAACCAAGGCATATATAAATCACCCAGATGTCTGTTCAAGAAATTATGCTCCATAGCTATGTCTGACAAACAAGAATAAACTTTCAAACTGTCTTAGACAGTGGGGCAAACATAAGATAAACAATTTCAGTCTTACACTAATCTTGACCCTAAATCTTAGAGCCTTGTATGGTATGTATGAAGATATCTGAGTTTCATATAGATGGATAGAAGGTGAGACAGTGTGACTACTGTTAATTCTGATTACAATATTTTTTTTTTACCACGGAATTGATAACAGCAGAAAATGATGACAGAATTTTTTGTTAAATGTGATATGCCATTTATTATATAAAAGCTAAATACAGGTTATGAACTAACTGAAGTTATTTCTAAACTGCATGGAATTCCCCTAGAGGGCAATCTAACGCTTTGAAAAATAGTAAATGTGATTATATGTATGTATGTATGTATAGATAAATATTTAAAATACAGAAACCACTTACTTCATCCCACCATCTTCAAAAACACCTTATGTTAATAATAATAATTATGGGGATTTAAAATGTTAGTTGGAGATATTATTTAATAATAATGGGGATTTAAAAAAAAATAAATAAAGGGTCCTATTTACTACACTGTTTACTCTACCTATTTAATACATTACATATATAAAAAAAAATCACCTCCCTAAACATTCATACATTATAAAAGAGTATGTTTCATAATATAACCCATAGAGCCCAGCACACTCACTCACTAAACAACAGCTTAAAAATGTTTTATATATTCTTAAAAACATCTGATTTAGGTAAAATAATGGGAATCTAGTCTAGTCAATAGGGAGATAAGGATCAAATTAATGATGGCAGCCTTTAAATAGCAGTTACTCCATTGAATCGTTAGCAGCTAACACGTGTGAGTGTATGTATATAAGAACTGTGTCTGTGCATTTATGTTGTAGTTCACGAGAACAATCTAAGGCATACTAACTGTTATCTAACAGAATAAAATACTATAAATGTTTGAAACACGTGTAAAATACTTTTTGGTGTGTATTATGGAAAAAATTATGTCCATTATTTTCCCTTGCAATGCACTTCACTTGTTTATATCCTATATATTCTATATATCTATTTATCTCTGTCTGTCTGTTTACTTATATCTCAAACATTCTGCAAAGGAAAGTAGCAGATCTTTCATGGTGAGTGATGTTGGTTCCATAACTGTGCTGGTTAAAGTTCAGGCATTAAGTGTCCAGTGATCCATATATTATGTTAGGGTTAATATACATGTGACATAGTACGACCCGACTTGGTCCATCAGTTCACAAATTACCTCTTTTTACTTCAGCCAGAGCCTGTCCATACCAGGTGCCGTGATGCATAATTGGGCTAGTTTATTGCACAGGTGTTTTTTATTTTCTAAAGATCCAAGGAGTGTTAATAAGAGGTAATTGCAAATTTACCTCTTTTGTCACATTGCAATGGGTGTCCAAGATGTAAGCCATATGTCAAACTGTGTAGTAGATTACAAAGAACTAAAAACATAAAACAACAAATAAATGTAAAACTATAATAAAATTATATTGAATACTCTGCCGTATTCTTCCTGGCAATGTATATCTCACATGACTTTTCTTTCTTAACTGGTACTATATTTTATTGCCAACAAGTAATGTATATTTTAAGACCATTTCCATGTTGATATCATATTGCTCATTTGTCATTTCTTAAGCCGCCTCACTCTTTAATCTGTACAGGTCGGGTCATGTTCCTGTGAAGAATACTGTGTGGGAAATATTAAGAATGTATAATATACTCCATTTTCTGGGGGCGGGGGGGGAGTTTGCCAAACTATTTTGAGCTTGAGGTGATTATCCAGATGATGCATCATAAATATGAAAATATTAACAGAATAACAAATGAAAAGATGATAATCTTTGAAACTCCCGCATTTGATGAAAACCCCAAGGGGGTCAAAAACACCCCCAAAACAAGAATTGCTAAATCCACCCTGATGCTGTAACAAACATGCACACGTGCAGTAATCTGACGGTGGAGTCTTAAAGGGACACTGTAGGCACCCAGACCACTTCAGCTAATTGAAGTGGTCTGGGTGTTGTGTTCCTTTTGCACTTAGTGCTGCAATGTAAAAAAAAAAAAAAATTGTTTACATTGCAGCTCTAAGTCTGCCCCCTGTGGCTGTCTAACAGACAGCCACTACGGGTGCTTCCAGAATGCAAGTGGACTTTTGGTTCATTATCTGACGCTGGATGTCCTCACAGACCTCCAGTGTCAGATTTTCCCTATAGGAAAGCACTGAACAATCTTTCATATGGGGAGGTCTAATGCGCGTGGCCATTGCAGTGCATGCGCATTAGGTTCCCCCCGCCGGCTGACATCGGCAGTAGAGGAGTGTGGGCGGAGCCTGACCCAGCGCCGAGGGACATCTGTGCTGGATTCAGGTAAGTAGCTGAAGGAGCTTTAACCCCTTCAGCGACATAGGATGGGGGAAGGAGGGGGACACTCCAGGCTTCTCTAGTGGAGAATCCCTTTAAGGGATCGGAGGAAAGTGGGCTGTGTGGAACGTAAAAATGATGCAGAGCCATTGAATTGCACGGATCACCTCATGAGTTTAAAGGCAGTGACTCGCCGTGATTAACTCCGTGAACTAGTTTGAAACTAAAGATTCCCAGCTGAGAGGGTTGTAAGTGGCACAGCTGGTGTTAAAGTTTTGCTGCTGATCTTAGCATTGGCTAATGTTTAAGTTTTTGGTAGCTTGAAGCTCAATGCAAATAAGGAGAAAAAAGAAGAAACCTTGTTGAGACTATTACAGAAGAATAACATGGGTGATTGCAGCAAAGCTAAGTATACATATTTTGTCACTGTCTGTATTATTGCTGCAGACACAAAGTCTATGCTTTTAATTATCCAGTTAATATGGCATCTAAATCTCATCTGCTTAGAAAGAGAAAAAAAAGGAAGTACGCTTGACAAATCAATGTCAGGTTTTTTTATCCCCTCCAGATGCAAGAAATCAGAGACAACCCAACTGATATACAAAGCAACCAGCCTACAGAAAGCGACCAGATATCCCTTTTAGAAGGGGATACTCCTTATGTTTCTCAAAGTTATCTACAAAATTGCTTGGATTCGCTCTTGGAGACCTTAAAAAATAAAATCAAAACTTGCACTGCTGACATTAAAAGCAAACTTCAAGTGCTATCATGCAGACTAAAAGAATTAGAAGATAAAGCCTCTAATGTGGAAAAGCAACCAACAGCACTTAAAGAAGCTCAAGAAATATCAGTCCAAAAGATCTATAACCTGGAATTAAAACTGAGAGTTTTAGAGCATCGCTTTAGAAGGCACCATCTTAGGTTCCGTAATATTCCTCTGGAAGTTGGGCCAGAGAACTTGCAGGAATTTCTTGAAGAATTGTTCACTAAACTGGATTCAAATATTTCAAGTCAACTTACAACCATGAATCGTCGGCACAGACTTTTTAAACCAAAAAAACATTCCTGACACAACTTCAAGGGACATAATTGTAAATATTCTTTCTTTCCAATTTAAAGAACAAGTCATCAAAAGATTAAGATTAAGACTTTTTCTATTTTACAAAGGCAAAAAAAAACTATTCTTGACCGGAATTAGCACTCTAAGAGCACATAGCTTCAAGTTCAGATGGTATTCGTTGGCTTCCCTAAGAATTCACTGGAATGGCGCTTGGGAAAGTGTCAAATCAGCTGAAGTGCTGAGTAAATGGATCCAGATGAAGACATGAGACACAAAGCACCAAAAGAGACATTGGAAAAAAAAGGGGGAAAGGAAAACTAGATGAAGGGAAAAGAGAGAAAGGGAAGAACAGCGGAATCATTTTTAAAAATTCATCCCTGTCTGTTATATGTTTTTTTAGCACATTTGGTTTCACTTTTTTTACAACCAGAGTCGAAAAAATATTTACAACCAGAATAAGAGTCGAAAAAATATCACTCCTCTCACATGGTTAATGTGTAGATGTGTGTGTGTGTGTGTGTATAATGCAAGATCATTTCAAGGGGAAAGTGCTATATGAAGTACAAAACTATGGATACCTCGGTTTTGGATTTAAAGAAGATTTTTTTTTATGTTTAAATGTCATTAAGGTGCACAAGAGTTAAATTAGTTTTCACTTGAGTAAAGATAATTAATAACCTAATACTTTTATTCCCTTATGGTGTGTAGAAGGTTCAGATAAAATATCACATTAAAATAGGTTCAAGGTAGGTATTTCACTAATATATGTACCGTAACTAGGTCTTTGCTTAATGCCAATTGGATATATAATAGTCAAATTAATATCACTTCTCTCACATGGTTAATGAGTAATATCTGTCACTAGGTCTTTTTTTATTTCTTCATATATGATGCTTTATGTAATTTGGCTATAGTTTTGCAGCTTATTGTGTTAATGTCACTGCGTTTATGTGGGTTAGCTAAACCAGTGGTCCCCAACCAAGTCCTCATGGGCCACCTACAGTCCAGGATTTATGCATTTCCCTTTTTTATTCAAATGGAGAAATTGTAAGAACATGGCTTGCAACCCAGAGAAAGCGGAAACTAAAGATTTATTGAGCTTTAACAGTCAAATAAAATAAAAGGAGGGCATTTTCGGTGAGAAAGTATTTAAAGCAGAAATGGTGCGAAGTGTTATTACCGAAACAGTCTCCTACATTTTTTTTAGGACCGTTAAGGCTGTGCAGATGAAAAAAATAAAAAATACCCCAGGAACTACAGCTACTTGTATTCTTGTTCTAGAGTTGGAAGTAAATGACACCTGTTAGCCATTCCTAGCCTTCATGTTATTTTCAATGGGAATTGAGCATTTATAAGTTAAGCACTTAATAACAAATCAATTTATTTAGAAAGTGTAAACAGAATTATTACTTATGCTGTTAGCAGTTATAAGTTATATACCAGGTATGTACCCGGCAGAGGGTACATACTAAAATCTCATTGGCCCCTCTTCCTGTCTACAGTGCGTGCACTGTGCCAATGAAGGTTGGTTGATCGTTGATTTACCCATTGGCCAATAAAGGATCGCTCTGCATGGGCTGGTGAAGTCCAATTTCTATGGGTAACATCACTGAAGGATGATCAGGCTGCAGGGAAAATGTGTCTTTGGCAGGGACCATACGAGCAAGGTGTTAATACAATCAAAATCTGTATTCTATTAAAACACTGTTTTTGATTACAGTAACCCTCCAATGATTCTGGGCTTGCTTTTTTTTGTTCACAATTCACAAGTATTTGTCAATCAGCAAATCTTCTTTGATGAAACTATTAAAATACAGCACACAAAGTATTTAGCTATTTTAACTAAACACTTTAGTTTTCCAAAGAAAAAAGGCCTTCTGGGAATCCTAATTCCATTATTTATTAAACACACAGCAAACGAAATAATGCAATTCCAGTAAACATGTCCAAAAATATAAATAAAAAAAAATCAGAGCATATTTCAACTTAAATAACTTGCATACATTCCTGTCATTAAATCTGTTTTGTGAAGATGTGATAATGTGAGCGAGAACACAAAAATCATGGAACAAATATTTTCCAATGTTTGTGTGGTTAAATTAAATAAATAAAAAGTTGTAAGACTGAAATAGACAAACTAAGAACATTCTCCAAGCCAGCTATTTTTGCATCATGGCTATTTCAGACTAAAATTACAAAAAAAATGTTTAATTGTTTTAAATTAGTGTGAATAATGTAAGCAGGATTTGAAACTGAACTCAAATACATTAAACATTACTGATTTATACAGAGAGAGATTATGTATAGAAAACAGTAATACTGTAACAATATGTTAGTGTACTGACAACGCATAAATCTTGCATTCTATTTGTCGATATACACCTGCTACAGCTCCCGTACGGTTAGTCTGTCAGTCACACTGCATTACATGGTGATAACCAATTTTTCCACTTGAACAAAATTTTCCTTGTTAGTTCCCAACAATTCCTGGTCTAGTGAATAACCACTTAAATGGTTTCCTACTAATATGTGAATTGCCTTATTATTTTCTTACATAAGCCGAATTAGACAAAAGCTCTAAAATGGATATTTAATACATTTTTAATAAATCACATTCTACATATATATTTAATGGAAACACGTACACTCCTCTCCTGCTCTATGTAGTCCCACTTGGATTTACACAAGCGCGTTGATTCACTAAGAGATTAATAGTAACTACGCTACTAAATTGACTCTGAAGTCAGTTTAAAGATCCGTAAAATTTAGTATCACATGTGGCATGTTGACTTTAGCCAAGTGATGTAATCTTTATTTAAAAAAAATCAAAATAAAAACATTCTTACCTGATTATACTAAATAAAATAAAAACCTGATTTGCAAAAAAATCCACAAAATAAAGCAATGAAGAAAATGCATCATCACACATCAAGGCGTTTTGCATAGACTGAACATTTAAGACAGGAAAAAACGATATAATGGGTTTTCCCCGCTATCAGGCTCAATTTTTCAGTGTACGGGTCTGTGATAGGGTTTTTTCTGCTCTCTGTGATGTCAGGAAAGGACTCAGTGTGTGAGTTATACCCTAATCTCTTTAAATAATGCTAATCTAAAAGTATTTGTCAAGATCTTAGCATTATGGCTGCACCCTCTCTTTCCTGGATTGGTGAACCATTAGGTCTGATCAATAGAGCCCTTGGCAGTGACAATCTGAACTTGCCCAGACAAAGACCATCGCTGTTTACATATGATATTCTGCTTACTTTGAATTTTCCACATGTTTTATTTCTAAAGTGCTTTCTCTCCTGAAAATTTGACATGTTCGCTGTCCTCTAATTTTAAAAGGGCACTTTAAGTACCAAAACAATTCTAACTGAATTAAGTGGTTTTGGTGTACAGTCCATGCCTTAGCAGTCTCACTGCTCAGTTTTCTGCCATTTAGGAGTTAAATAACTTTGTTTATGGAGTCCCAGCCACGCCTTTCCTGTCTGTGACTTTCACAGTTTCCCTACACACTTCCTGTAAAGAGAGATCTAATTTTGAAACTTCCTTTTCTTGCACAGTCTGTTTCAAACTTTAAGATTCATTTTATTCTGAACAGCATTAATTTTGAGATTCATTTTGTCCTGAATCTGGGACATTTATATAATAAGTCGAATTCCCAAACTTCGTGCCGAAACGCTCCTGAATCACATACAGACCGAAAATGCAATATGCAAGCATGTTTGTTTTGATTTGTGTAACTGAATTTCACCCTTCGTTTAAAAAAATAAAAATAAATGATTGTTGGGAAAAAAAGATCATCGATGCCTAGGGGACTGTTACTAAATGTTGATTTTATTTAAAGATCAAGTGAGAAGTTACCATTCAAAGGAAAAAAAAACATATTAAAGATAGGTATAGGGAAAAAATTGTTTAGTTTAATTTTGATTTCTTGTTTTTGGAATTTTGGTTCGTCCAAAGAATGAATTCAATAAGTATCTGCACTGAACAAACTGACATCTCTAGTCCTAAAAAGACCAGATGCAGCGTGGGTGCAGATGAGACCCAGGTAAGTGTCAAAATTTGCAAAAATATTAAACAGACTACACTAGGATTGCACCAGGAAGCTCCTGGAATAATAATCACTACATAGAAGGCTGTAGTGCTTATGGTTCTTGGAGTGTTTCTCTAAGGTTATATTCCAACAGTCAAGGATCATATTACCAAAGTTCCTTAATTTATATATAGTGCTGACTCTTGATAGAAAAAAACATATATCTTCCAACGTATTCTACAAATTATAGTGCTTATCTTGCTTATGCTTTACTACATAAACGTATAGACATTGGCATATATTTGTCCCCTATAAACTTACTACAAAGCAACATATTTGTTTTTGGGTAAAAATACTGAAAAACATGCAACATTCTCTTGCTCTATGGACTAAAATAGAACTCACCACAACTGGCTCCTATGTGCAACCAGTCTTAGGTTGTTTTAACTATCCATTATCCAAGGAAAGTTACCATTATAGAAATTGTATTTCCCCCCCCCACAAAGTTACATCGTATAAGCATCTCTGTTTTACCCCTATGCATTAGGAGGTGTGGGGAAAGGGGTCCCTACCACATATGTTGTTGACTTTGACCCCTGTAACTTCAATATGTGTATGGGCTTTTCTAGTTCTTGTGATGTATTGCAAGGTGAGACCCCAGACATAGAGTAAAAACCAAAGAAAAAAGTTACCTGCGCTCTTCCTAAATCTCTATGCATATTTAAACAAATGGAGGTTATTTAGTTTCTCCAATGGCCATGAGAGACTTTAGCCCACCTGCCACGTCAAGGCAAACCTCTCAGGTGGGTCCCACACTAACCTTTCACCTTGCTTCCTTGAGCTTCTGGCAAAAAATATCTCTAATGAGACAGAAAGGGGTATATACACCACTACATGCTTATTAACCCCTAATAACGAACACATGGTTTACAAAACTTTTTTTGCATTTTATGTCCACATTTCTCAGTATGCCA